AATGTCATTTTTGTTTCTTTTATTATGTAAATGTCCGAAATACCACATGTGTTGTTAAAACCATACTCAAAATACACCTGAAGCAATTAAATTTTTAAAAATACCAAGAAAGTTATTCATATTCTATATTAAATATTATATTAGAAATGATCAACTAAGAAGTTAAGAAAATTAAAAATATTTAAATAAATATTTCAATCAAACAAATACTTCAATTATTTTTAGAGTTTTCATTTTTTAACATTGATTTTAGTAATATTTTAGTTTAACAATGTTTTAAATTGTATTTAATATAGTTGGGAAGGCTAATCTAGGTATTTTAAAAAAATTATTTGCTTCAAATGGCATTTTGAGTATGATTTTTTAAACACAAAAAATATTTTGGGCATTTCCATAATACGAGGGTTAAAAATGGTATTTAGGCAAGACAAATAGGTTTTTTAAGTATTATCCCTTAAGTTGAAAGTTCAAGTCCCCCAGTCCAACCATGCAACTCAAAGAGGATATTCGGGTTGAACTAGGTGTATCTTAAAAGGAGGAAGTTGGCCCAACTCAGCCCTAAAGGCTGACTGGCAAGGGCTGAGTTGGGCCGACCTAAACTTTTTATAAAAAAAATTCAAAATAATAACAAAATAAAAGTACTTTGGGTCGGGTTGGAACCGAACTAGCAGTGACGGACTTTAGACCAATCTATTTCATTTAGCCTAAAGTTGTAGCTCTAATTATCCTCTCTAAATTCAATTTGCACATCAATCCAATTTTGCTCAATAGACAAAGATCTTACTTGTCAACAGTCATCACAAAAACAGAGTACATGCTTCACAATTCACATAATTACTCAACGTGCAAGAGGAAGGGTATTTTTGGGATGAATATATAGGAGTTTTTAATAGTTACGTTTTTATAAGCAGTTTCTATTAAATATATAAATCTGATAATGTGACGAGTTAAGAATTCAAGCACATTAATTATCGTAAACTATTCTATTTATTACAAATCAATATCATTCGGTTAAAATAATGGCATTTATCGATAAGTAAATATTAGAATAACTATTAAAACAAAAAGCACAAAAGAAAAGATTTAAAAGAAAGATAAGTAAAACTGTACTTCACAATCAAGCAAGATGAACAGTAGGTTCCTCCTCTATGCTCCGTCCACGTTTGGGAAGATAAAATGATGTGAACCTCATAGCTTAAAAATCCTATCTATTTTACTTTCTTTTTGTTTTTCCCACCCTACTAAATAGATTCGACTCTAGTGTCTCCTTGTAACAGCCTCTTTCAATATCCTCAAATAATAGTATCATATCAAATTAAAATATTATGTCTATCAAAAGATATGTTACATTAAATTATAATACCATGTTATATTAATAAAAATAATACTACAATTATTAAAATAATTTAATTAGTGTAGTATGATATTATTAATTAGAGCAACATTAAAGCGAGAATATGTGAGTGAGTCGAATTCTTATTAAACAACCACCAATTTCATCTCCACCTTTTTTATTTCTTTCCAGTAATTGATCGCACCAAACAGGCTGTAAAAGTCACTTTGAGGTATATTATTGTTTTGCTTACATTTGTATCTTCTTATATACAATAGGATTATTATATTGATGCCAGCTTGAGTTTTAAGGTCATTTTTAGTTTGTCATCTAAACTTTTTAAACTCTTATTTTACCTCCTAAATTTTGAATTATTTTTACGAATCTCTTAGGGGATGTTTGGTATAGGGATTTATACCCTGATTTGAATCATGGTTCATAGTTCGTTACAGTGTTTTATCTCATAAAAAAATACACATAAATCGAAAATGATTCTAATCTCATGATTCTAATTCATGAACTAAACGTCTCATTATATTGCAATTTTTGTAAAAAGTATAAGAAAAAAAGAGAATCACGCAGTTACGTGCTCTTTTGTTTAAATTTCTGTTAAAAAGAAATAGATAAAAATCACATGATTACACTTAACTCCCTCTTTTTTTTGTCTAATTTTAATAGAAATTACAACAAAATGAGTTAAGTGAGAACAATTCAAAGTGTAGAACGTAAAGTAAGAGTTTTCAAAATTTAAGGGTGGAAATGATCCCAAAATTCATAGGATTTCAGTGAAAATAATCCTACACAGTATCTCAAATATGGTTTCTCTTCTCTTCAAAGAAGTAATGTTTGTGTACGGATATGTCAATTATGCATGGTTATCATAAGTAATGTTACCCTGGATGGGTTTTGAATGAAAAAAAGCCAGTCATTATTTTTTATTTTCATTTCATTATGAAGGAAGTAATTATTGTTTAAAATAATAATCAGAACAATAATTTGCTTAGGATAGTTATAAATTATTTTTCAACTTCTAGTGCTACACTCTTTTAAGGGGAAAAACGCTTCTACAGATTTTCTTTTTGATCATAACGGAACCCTTCAGGCATCAACCATCATCTACGCGTTGGTCTGCTATTCTTTATTAATGAACCAATAAACAGTTAATAATAAAAATCGTATTAATAAATTACAACACAAAAAAAGACAAATGATATAAAAGACAGTCTAAAAAATGGGGCATAGAAGGCATTATTAAAAGGGCAAAACAATATGAGGAGAAATAAATATATTACATCGTTATTTACAAAAAAACAGCTTTAAATCCGTTTCTCGGCTCTTTTCTATTCCTTTTATTTAATAAAGGATTCTTTTTTTTTTTTTTTTTTGACGCAGAAAAAGGTTAAATTTTTTTTTAAAAAAAAAAAAAAAAAAAAAAAAAAAAAAAAAAAGTAAAGAACTTTCATAATACTATTTTATTTATGTCATTCTTGTTATATTTATCCTATGTCATTAATAATCTATAAGTTATGTACAGATGTACTATTCGTAACTGCAGATTGGTTATTTTGCGCAACCTGACAAAAATAAATTCCTATGCAGATTACCTCTTTGACGTGGTGATTAGCCGTAAAAAAACAACAGCAACAAAGAACTCTTCCGCTTCTCAACACCCAAGAACGACAAGACCACGTCCTTTGGTCAACGACGGCGATCGATCCGGATCCAACAGCTTTAACGTACGCCGAAACAAACAGCGTGACCTGATCCGATGCATTAGGATTCTTGCGTGCATCGTTCCTCTTCCAGCAATATCCCTGCTCCTCCATCCACTCGACCAGATCCGAAACCACGTCAGCAACCGGAGATCCGACGTGGCGTCCACGCAACCTCCTCGGGAGGTCAACTACGACCGCAGAATCCGACTTACCGGGATTTTCTCGGACGAGCGAAACGAACAAGACGAGGACGAAGAGGAGGAAGAAAATGACGGCAGGTAGCGCCTGCTGAAAGAGCCAAGCCCTGCGCTTTGCGTTCATGTTGTTCTTGTGGGGACATTAGTTTACTCACATGTCATTTGTGCTAATTCATTGAGGAATTATTCAAGAGTACGTAATATCGAGATATTTATGGATATTGAACTGTTTAGGAGTGAGCGGTGGAGTGGTTGTATCGGGAAGGTTGCATGGTGGCCTTCTGATTATGCTGCGGGTTTGTTTGTTTGGTGCTACTTTTGGACTTTTAGATTGGAAGGGGCATCTCAATTATTCTTTTCTTTGTTTTTGTTACTCGATCGGCTCTCTTGTCTTAATTTGTATGCCCAAATTAATTTTTCTTACAGGACGTTGACGTAGAACTGAGGTACAAGTGACAAAAAAAGGTACCAAGCGACTTTTTTTTTCCCCCTAATTTTCTTTTTGATTTCGTGTAAATTCGTGGTCATCCATCAATTTTCACATATTTCGCCACAATGGAGTATATTTAAGTTTGGAATGACCATTAAAATGAAATGACGATTTTTAAAATTCAATTATTTCTATACTTAGTTGGACAGAATTTCTATTCCATCAAATAGTTGAATAACAATTCCTCAAGTAAACAGTTGAATAATTATTTCATTTTAAAACTGATATTAATTGAAATTCTCTAGATATCTCTCCTAACCCTGTAAAATTTACTTTAAATACCTTTCTCATCATCCCAATTCTAAACTATTAATAATAATTAAGTGAATGACTATTTTAGTCAAAACATATACTATTTCATTCTATTCCAATGACTAACTGAACATTATATTGTGGTTACAATTTTAATTTCAATACTCAACTAAACAATAGAATTTAAACAATTTATTTGATCTATTTCTCTTCTCATCCGCCCGTTAAATAATAGAATTTGAACAAATCATTTAATGTCGGCGTCTAGGAGCCTTGCGATGATAATCGGCACCATGCTGACGAGGGGATTTCATGAAAGTCGTAGTTTAGCAATGGAATTTAGAGGAGATCTCAAGGTTTCAAAGAGATCTTGAGGTCGTCGTTTACGTCGCGCGTTCGATTGGCATTTGCGATAGAGTTTGGTCGGAGAAGAAGACTAGGCGGAGAAGAAAACCAACGAACATGAGTTTATTGTAACGGAGGTACTTTGTGTTTTTAAGTTATTTGGTGTAAATTATGCTATAAATTTTTATCCCCTTCAATTTTTGCTATTAATTTTAATCCCCTCTCTAGTTTTTTCAAAAGTAGAAAATAAGATCAATACCTTTAGAGTATATAAATTTAGATTTTTATTTTTTACTTTTGATTAATACTCTTTTTAATCAAATATTATAGTAAAAAGAGTATTAATTATGAGTAAAAAGTAAAAATTTAAAATTATAAACTTTAAAAAAATAAAAAATTTATCTTTGAGAGTGTATAAGTCTGGATCTTTATTCTTTATTCTTAATAAATATCATTTTGTTAATATAATTATTTGACTAAAAAAATTATGAATTAAGAATAGAAAGTAAAAATCTTAACACGTTTATTTTTAAAGAATATTCGTTAAGATTACTCTATATTTTAATAATAAGTTTAAGAATAAGTTGAATAATTTTCTAAATTTAGACCAGCTCGACACAATTATCTGGACCGGCTGAAACCAAACATATGGGCCGTACCATGGGCAGGTCCTTTCCTTACGTATCACAGAAGGCGGGGGTTGGGTTAACTCACAATTGTGCGCTCCACCTGCGCACCTTAACAGCATGCGCTGCCCGAAACTCGAAAGCAATGAGCTCCCAACTCAAAAACCAGGGAAAACCAGAAAACCTCCGTCTTCGCATTCCCATGACGTGACCCTCGACGATCCACCGGAAAAACAAAAACCCAAACTCTAACCCTAACCCTAGCTTCGAATTCCCGCAAAAATGGCGAGAAAAGCTTCTCTGGCGAAGAAATCCCTGGCCACGGTCTGCTTCGTTCTGGCCATCTACGCCGTCATCAACATCTTCCACTTCCCCAGCGCCAGTGATCCGAATCTTGCCTTGGACTTCTCCGATCGGACCTCCGTGACCTCTTCTTTTCGTAAGAATCTCCAATTTCACAACCCCGAAAGCTCCGTCAAGATCTACCTCTACGATCTCCCTCACCGCTTCACATACGGAGTGATCCGACACCACTCCTTAGCTCGCGGCGGTCGACCGCCGGAAGACGCGACGGCGCTGAGCTACCCCGGCCACCAGCACATGGCCGAGTGGCACCTCTTCAAAGATCTCACCCGACCCGAATCCGACCGGCTTGGGTCGGCAATTGTCCGAGTTTCCGATCCCGACGAGGCCGATTTGTTCTATGTTCCGTTTTTCTCTTCGTTGAGCTTGATAGTCAACCCGGTCCGGTCCGAACCGGGGGCTGAGCCGGTTTACAGCGACGAGGAGACGCAGGTGGCGTTGGCCGAGTGGCTGGAGGAGCAGGAGTACTGGAAGAGGAACACTGGGCGCGATCATGTGATCGTGGCCTCGGACCCGAATGCTCTGTACAAGGTGATCGATCGGGTTAAGAACAGTGTACTGCTTGTGTCGGATTTCGGGAGGTTGAAGAATGACCAGGGGTCGCTCGTTAAGGACGTGATTCTGCCGTATTCGCATCGGGTTAATGCGTATAATGGCGATGTTGGGGTTGGGAATCGCGGCACTCTGTTGTTCTTTATGGGCGCTCGATATCGCAAGGAGGTGATAATGTTTACCTATTTCTTTATTCATTGCGTTTGCTTTTTAGTCACTGAGTTATTTTTTTTGTTGTGTTCTTGTGGGGATGTTTCTGTTATTGTTTCGTCTAAATTGCTAGATTATTAACGTTTTTGTAATGCTGCAATGAGCTCTGTTTCAACCTCTGCAATTGGAAACTTCCTTTTTGACTTTTAAATTGCATTTTTGTTTTTCGAGTTAAACTCGCCGGAGCTCTAAGAATTAAAGGTCCAAACAATGAGGAAGAGAGACCCAAAAATTCGTAGTGTAATCAGCAATTTGGTTAATTTAGAAATCCCCTGTATCTGTATAGTGGGATCGAGATCGAAGCTTGAGGCTTGATGAACATACAACTCATGTTATGTACCAGCCAGGTGAAGGGTGTAGTGTGATTGTTCATAAATGGATTAGTTTTTTGAAACATTTAATTAGGATTTGTAACCATCCAACTTGCAACACTCACAAATGAGATATAAACTTAATAAACTAGGCTGGCTGGGAGAGACACTGCTAAATAACAGGTTATTGCAGCGTGTAAAAGTCTCGGACACGAAAGGAAAGCCTTTCAGTTTTAGTTGTGTTTTTTAATTTTTTTTTAGTTTTATTTTCATGCCATGGGTTGAAGCATTTCTTACGTATTTAAATGTGGCATTTAAAAAGCTCCCTTTTTTTCTCCCTTGGCAATGTTGGATCTGTTGTTTGTACGACTGTTCTCACAATCTCTGCATTGTAGAACTCTTTTTTAGTGTCGGGCTTGATTTCTTGTGTAAAATGTAGAAAATTTCTCCGAACTTCTCTCTGATACCATTCTACTCTGTCGGCTCAATTTAACTGGTAGCCAAGAGCGTGAAACCTACATGGCCCACAAGTGGACCCCACTAGACGACCCTATCTCACTCCCTACCAATATGAGAATTTTCATTATAGTGTTGTGATGAGTCTAATGTGAAGAAGGTTCATTTTTTGGGGCACTTTTTTATGCCCGTGTGTTTGATTACTATATTTATATTCATTCATTTTGGCATTCTTTACGATCACTGAGGGTGCATTTGTTTCAAGGGTTTTTGTTCAAACCATGGTTCTTAGTTCTATTACAGTGTTTTTCTCTCACAAAAAAATTGAATTTCAAAAGTCAAAATCAAAATCATTCGTTTGAATCCATGAACTAAACGGACCCTTATTTATTGGGTCTAACCATTTCTTTTTTTCTCTCTGTATTTCATTTACTGCAGGGTGGTAAGATCCGTAACTTGCTATTCCAATTACTTGAAAATGAAGAGGATGTTGTAATTAAACATGGAGCTCAATCCAGGGAGAGCCGGCGGGCTGCCTCACATGGGATGCATACATCTAAGTTCTGTTTAAATCCTGCTGGTGATACACCATCTGCCTGCCGACTTTTTGATTCCATTGTTAGCTTGTGTGTGCCAGTAATAATCAGTGATGACATTGAGCTACCTTTCGAGGATGTTATAGATTACAGGAAGATTGCGATATTTATTGAAACCACTGTGGCTTTGAAACCAGGATATTTGGTTTCAATGTTGAGAGCAATATCTGATGAAAGAATCCTAGAGTATCAAAAAGAGCTGAAAGAGGTTAGACTGTTCACTCACTTGCTCTCTATCTTTGCATACGTCATGTGTGTACACCACATGTGTTAAAATGTACGTATCTACATACATTGCATACATGATCAGCGGAACAGGGAGAAAAAAAAGAGAGAAGAAAATAATAGATGTGTACCTATATGTTTAGATGTGATGCCTGATCATCTTGAACCTGTTTTGTAACTTATGTCATCCTGATCATTTTATTTTCTATTTGATGCCTGGAAAGCGTGGAGAACATCATTTATGATAATGTTTGTTAAACATGGATCGTATATTATAAATAGTGGGTTGGACTTGACTGAAAACATTTATGCTTAGAAAATTTGAAATAGCAATTTCCCAATTTGTACAGCTGTTTGTGCCTTGAGCTAACAGCAATTTGTTCGTTGGCTCTCTATTTATAGGCGTGTTCATGCTATGAAATATTGAAAACTTTTGTTGGGTGATTTGATTTTAACAATTGAGATGACTAGTATAACATATGTTTTGCATAGATCGATCTCTGAACCTAAATGATATAAATGCAGGTGAAGCATTATTTTGAATATGGAAGCTCAACCGTGAATGAGATCTGGCGCCAGGTTGCGCAGAAGCTACCCCTGATTAAATTGATGATTAACCGTGACAAACGCCTTGTCAAAACGAACTTTACTGGACCAGATTGCTCTTGTATATGTTCAAACCAGACCGGGATTGTAACGAGTGTATGACAGCACTATTTCGCTATGACTGGATGGTGTGATTCTCGTAGCTATACTAGTCGTCTTTCATCTGACTAGACTGCTCGATGTAAAGCAGTTTTGGAGCATAACATCTGGAAAGTCTTCCATGGTTGACCTCAGAGACTGAATTGAAAGATGGGACCATTTTAGTGGTGCATAAAATCGGCCACTGATTTCTTCCAAAGGTACATGGATTTTTTCCAATTAATTGCCCTTTTTCAGCCACCATAGCTTGGCTACAAGTTTCATAGGTTTTGCTGTACAATTTAGAGTAGCTCCTTTTTTTATTTGTAATTGTAAGTTCTTTTATACATGTTAGGTAATAAAATCATAGGTATATTTTATTCTTTTAACGTGCCACTGTCACTATTTCTCTCGCCTGCATGTATCAGAGTAGAAAAAAAAAAAAAAAGAGTGAAGTTATCCAGTTTTTTTATACTTTCTGCTGTTTGTATAGTGACCTGATGTGGTTAGATGGGATTTTCACTGGTCTCTAGCACGTCTGATTTTCAGTCATGTCTTAGTATATGAAAAACCCAAAAGCAGATTTACAAGCAAAATAATAATAATAATAATAAGAATAAAATAAAATCAACTCATTTTCCACAGTAGTTTAGATCAAGGATTTGAATCAACGTCTCTTGAGGAACGTTTACATTTAAGAAGTTTGGCAAAGAGATAGCAATAATTTCAAAAATAATGAGAGAAATTATTTGCAGCTCTACACCGGCAATATTGCAGCTGGGTTTGTATCTAAATAGCTATTTTTCTATAATCTTTTTGTCTCGGATTACAATGCTGCACACGAGATGCAAACTATCCAAGATGGATGGATGGATAGGAATCAAATATGTATTTCCTTGTGTTGTTCGTCAGTCTATCGAGAGATCAAACTGATGTTCTTAATAAATTATCGAGACCAAATTGATGTTCTTAACAGTAGAACCTAAATGGCTTCTGGTGCATAAAGTTTCACGAAACACAAGTAGAATGTTATTTTAATTTGATGACGGACATATTTTTGCGTCTCAAATTGTTCAGTACTAGAAGAATGCTAGCTCTGTCAAATTGATCTTTTTGAAACCTTTACCTTCAAGCCATGTTTCATGTGAAGAACTACCGCTAAACGCGGGGAAACGATATGCCTTTCAAGCACTTGAAGACGGTAATTACTAAGGACCGCAGTGGCAATAGCGTTCATCTGAATCAAAGACATGTCTTTGCCTAGACAAAGCCTTGGCCCTGTATTGAAGGCTATGAACTTGTGAGATGGTACATAGACAAGGCCTCCTTGTTCCGCGATCCATCTCTCCGGCTTGAATTCCAAACAGTCTTTACCCCACAAGTCTTCCATCCTTCAGATGGGTGCGTTGCAACAAGCCTGAAAAACCACGCGAGACATGCGCTCACACTGGCTATGCCTGCTGCGACGAAATTGAGCGCGGTATCCCTCAGAAACTTGTCGGATTGCGGTCTCAAGGAACCCGAGATTTTTGCTTCTTTCTCTTCGTCCTCCAAATAACTCGTTAGCACGTCGGAGTTGGCGTTGTCATCGTCCTTTCTAATTTCACTTCTTGTCGAATGTTCTTCTCGTTTTAGTAAGATGCTTTGGTTAAAGAATTGTTCAAAAAGTTGTATTATCCGTTTTAGCCTTCCTTCTATTCCAATAGAGAGCCGCCTCTGCAACTTCCAGTAGATTTTCGGGACAACATATCTGCGGAATAAAGCATCCTCTAGTTCTCCAAAAGCTTTTTGGTATGATCCTTCTGGGAAGTTATTTGATCGGGAAAATGGATCACAACCGAAAAACAATGAGAATGAGTTGATAAATGCTATCCGCTGCATCACTTCTTGCAAGTCAACTTGTTTATTTATTTATGCTGATTAGCGTCCGTTTAGTTCGTTGATTCAAGTTTTTAATTCGAGTTGAGATGTGACGTTATGTGAGAGTTTTTTACTGTAGAAAAAAAGTTAGTTGTGACCGTTTCTGAGAGTTTTTTACTGTAGCAAAACTCGAATCGGCAAAATGAACGGTAAACTGGTGGAAAAATCACGTTTACTTATTTTTGAAGTGGAATCCTAAGGTGGGATCATCATATTACTTTATGGAACGTTGATCTCAACCTTATGATTTGAATCCTACGGCACTTAAACTGTGGATATAATGAGAATCATCCGATTTAAATTCCATGGCTGCGATAGATATGGCCTTACAGTAAGGGCAACCACACTTGAATCTTCCAATACTATAAAAATTGATCCAAAAAAACTCAACTATATATTATTAGAATTTATTTAACGATTACGTCTCAACTCTGTGGCATGTTCACACATTTTCAGTGATGAATTATTTGAAATTACACATCGTCTGAGATTTGAGAAATTATAATTATTTCAAACTTCAGAAAGTTAATTATTTCAAACTTCAAAGAGTAATGCATCTCATTCATTGTTCGTGTCATTTAACTCATATTTGGCAAAATCTTTTTCCCATATTGTTCTATCCTTTTATAGCAATTTATAAGGGAAAAAAAAAAGTCTTAACTTATAAGAGTAACAAAAGGTTTACGTATTTACTATTTTATGTTCTTTGTGAATTAAAGAAAAAAAATTAAAATCAAAGTACATAATGTAGTGTTAAATGTATCTTGCCTAGCGTGCCGACATTAACGTATCATGTTATACCTCGTGTCATATTGTGCTTGACCTAACGCGCTCAACACTTAAACCCAACACGCCCTATGAGATGGGTTCATACTCAATATGGCCCATAAATTAATGTGTTGTGCCGTGCTGAATGCGTAGCTATATCGTTCTTTCTACAACTGGGTCGGCTCAGCCCATTTGACAGCTCTATTTATATATGGTAGCATCATGTATAGATATTTTGTGTGTGCCAACTAAAAATATTCATTTGCATAGTGCACATATACAAAAAATATCATAAGTATATATATGTATATATATTAATAATGGTTTTAATAATTACTGTTTATAAAAATAATGACAGTTAATGTGCATTAAATTTAAAGAGCTAAGAAAGTTGTTTTAATCAATTCTTAAGGTTTAGTTGTTAATTAATTTGTTACAAAGTATATTGCACTGTTGCACCCAAAACTAGTTATTTTGCATGATGAACCTCGTACTTTTAATTTTAATAAAATACATTTAAACTTTAAAATCAGCTACAATTGATGTCTAATAGTTCACGAACATTTATCAAATTGACCATTAATTAAGACATGAGATTCGAACATGAAAAGTAAATATTCTCGTTTTTCAAATCGTGTTATGTACGATCTTGTATATTGAACCGTCAATTTAATAACACCATTAGCTATTAGATTTCAACTGAAATTGATTTTAAAATTTAGGGTGCATTTTATCATAGTTGAAAGTTTAGAATTCATCACGCAAAAAAACCAATAATTTAAGGTGCAACATTACTATTTACACTTCTTATAATAAGTCATATGAAATACCACATTATCAAATGCAATTATAGTATGCACTCATTTATATAATTTAAGTAACAACATAACCTACATATATAATGTATATATAGAGAAAGCGTAGTTAGTTCTGACAGTATATATATATATAAATATATATATATATATATATATTTATATATATAACCTGAGTTCTCGTTTCGTGGACATGATCAAGAACTGGGATAAGGGCGTGCACGATGTTCTTGTGCATGGCTTTGGCAACAAACAACTCGAACTTGGTCTGTCCAAGAATCAAGGACTGAAACATTTTTCTTTGCTTTCTCCATGAATCGGAATCGGCATTCAAAATCCCATCTCCAAGATGCTCCTCAAAGATGTCCCTGAACTCCGGACCCTTTGGATAGTTGGCAAATTTTTTGGCCAAGATATACTGCACGTTGACAGGATCACATGTGGCCAGAAAATCCATGTTGGCCAACCAAGGTCCTTCGATCTCAAACGTGCCTCCATTTTGCATGAGAAATTCCGTTCCTGAATCGTGGATGCTTTCCAGTCGTTTAAGAAGATCTGGAAGCATTCCGACCGCAGGCCAGCTTGAGAATGCTCCATTTTTTTTTATGATCTTCCTCCGATATTTGCGGAGGAGGATGAAGTTAAGAATCACTACTACTAGAATGATCATCTCCCAAGTACCCATCAATGGAGGTGTTACATATAACAAAATGTTTCTTTCATATTGCTCTTTCCATTTATAGAGAATATGAGAATCAAAGAATCAAATTTACTGTTTAATTTAAAGAAATTAAATTAATTTTTAACTTACTTTTTTGTGCTTATCATGAGATGATATATTATGACTTAATTAATTAGATACTAATTAGAACACTAAAAACTAGATAGTATATTTTAATTTGAGAATCAATATATATATATATATTTTTTTCTTTTGAGGAAAGCAATAAAAATATTATTGGGCAGTATGGACCCGAGATCTATGTATTTAATGTGTAATCTCCAGCAATCTCACATGGTCAGTATTCTATTTAAATATCTTCCATTAGTGGATGGTTATAATGAGATTCTCATTTTGATAGAAGTCAGAACCAAACCAGCAACCTCCCCGAAACCCCATATTGATAAGGTCTTGTGTTCACAGTCATAGACTCATCCTTATACCCAATACCTCAGAGCTCATACCCAATACCTTATTTGCAATTTAATGAGTTTCGACTATGTTGATGGGTCAAACCCAATGAACCAATTCAATCATGGACTCTTTAAACATATAACAAAATTTTAATAGTAAAATTTTTAAAATGTTATGAGAATAGAAATTTTTTTATTAAAATAATGACTATAAGTTACAACTTTATTTAAGTTCATATTCGTTTGTAAAATTTGAGTTTAAATTTGAGTTTTAATTCGAATTTTAACTGGAGTTTGAGACTAAAATCTGAATTCAAGTTTCCCCTTCAACTCAAGTTCTTAAACTCAAACTCAAGTTAATGAACAGTATTTTTTTATTCTAAAAAATGTCACAACTTTTTTTGTTTTAATTCCGATTGAGATGATTTTTTTATGTGTTCACAACAAAGAGACGAATAAAATCTCACTCATATACCCTATTAAAATTTTTTATCACCATTAAATTTTTATTAAAATACTATTTAAATACAAATTCAAGTTTTGATCTACTCAAATAGATTCTCAATTCAAATCATAACTCAAATGTGCACATCCAAACACAAACTCAAGTTACAATTTGAACTAAAATTATAACTCAAATTCAACTAAAGATCTACACTCAAATTATCATAACTAAAATATACAACTGAACAAGCCTGAAATTTTCTATGAAGTGTAATTATCACTTCAAAATCAAACAACACCTTACTGCACGCGCATTTGGTTCGGGCCATAAACACCATACTTTATATGCCAAAAGTTGCATGAAAGAGTAATTTAAGGCCCGTTTAGTTTGCTGATTCGAGTTTTTAATTCGAGTTAAGATATTATTTTATGTGAGAACTTTTTACTGTAGCAAAAAAGTTAAATGTGACTATTTTTAAAAAAAATTTACTGTAACAAAACTCGAATTCTAAACTCGAATCGGTGAAATGAACCGAACCTTAATAAGTCATGATTTTTCTTTTTAATTTTTGATTCATAACTTGTTTAATTAAATAATTACACTAATAAAATATATTTATTAAGAATAAAAAATAAAAATGCAGACTCATTTTTTAAAAATGAAAAGATAAATATTATCGGTCAGCTTCATAGTTTCTTCCTTTGTGTGTTTTTTCTTTTCTCTTTTTGTAATTATTGTTAGGGCCCTTTGTATAAATAGACTAAGTAAAAAGTATTTTTAAGTAAATAAACCACACAAAAAATAAATTGAGTAAATGGGCCAACTTCCACATCAGCTATTCCGCGTCATCAATAACCGACCAACCAGACCAAGAACAGACCAAGAACCGACCACCAGACCAAGAACCGACCACCAGATCAAGAACAGACCAAGAACCGACCACCAGACTAAGAACAGACCACCAGACCAAGAACAAATCAAGAATCGACCACCAGATCAAGAACAGACCAAGAACCGACCGACCAGACCAAGAACAGACCAATAACAAACTCTAATAAAACATTAAAAACATACATTTTTACATATTTTTTTATTTTTTAGGTATTAATAACCATTGTAATTTATAAAATAGAAAAAAATATTGGTAAAAAGAGAAAAAACCAAGAACAGACCAAGATGTTCTTGGTCTGTTCTTAGTTTTTTTTATTTTTTACCAATTTTTTTTCTCTTTAATAAATTAAATATCTCTCCAATCTTCGGGACTAGTTCGAAGCTTATCAAAAAAAAAAAAAAACATCATTGTCTATTATTGGTCAGGTGTTGTCGGTTCTTGGTCTGTTCTTGGTCTGTTTTTAGTCTGTTATTGGTTTTTTAATATTTTACCAATTTTTTTCTCTTTTATAAATTAAATGTCTCTCCAATCTTCAGGACTAGTTCGAAGCTTTCAAAAAAAAAAAATACATCACTGGCTATTCTTGGTCAAGTGTTGTCGGTTCTTGGTATGTTCTTGGTTTTTTCTTTTTTTATCAAATTTTTTTTCTCTTTTATAAATTAAATGTCTCTCAAATCTTTTGGACTAGTTGGAAGCTTTCCAAAAAAAAAAAACAACATCATTGTCTGGTCAAGTATTGTCGGTTCTTGATCTGTTCTTGGTCCGTTTTTAGTCTATTCTTGGTTTTTTAATATTTTACCAAATTTTTTTTCTCTTTTATAAATTAAATATTTCTCTAATCTTCGGGACTAGTTCGAAACTTTCCAAAAAAAAAAAATAACATCATTGTCTATTCTTGGTCAAGTGTTGTCGGTTCTTGGTCTGTTCTTGGTCTGTTCTTAGTCTGTTCTTAGTTTTTTAATATTTTACCAAATTTTTTTCCCTTTTATAAATTAAATATCTCTCCAATCTTCTGGACTAATTCGAAGCTTTCTAAAAAAAAAAAAAAAACAACATCATTGTCTATTATTGGTCAAGTGTTGTCGGTTCTTGGTCTGTTCTTAGTCTGTTCTTGGTTTTTTAATATTTTACCAATTTTTTTTCTCTTTTATAAATTAAATGTCTCTCCAATCTTCATGACTAGTTTGAAGCTTTCCAAAAAAAAAAAAAAAAAAACACATCATTGGCTATTCTTGGTCAAGTGTTGTCGGTTCTTGGTCTGTTCTTGATTTTTTCTTTTTTTACCAAATTTTTTTCTCTTTTATAAATTAAATGTCTCTCCAATCTTTTGGACTAGTTCGAAGCTTTCTAAAAAAAAAAACAACATCATTGTCTATTTGTGGTCAAGTGTTGTCGGTTCTTGGTCTGTTCTTGGTCTGTTCTTAGTTTTTTAATATTTTACCAAATTTTTTTTCTCTTTTATAAATTAAATATCTCTTCAATCTTCGGGACTAGTTCGAAGCTTTCCAAAAAAAAAAAAAAACATCATTATCTATTCTTGGTTAAGTGTTGTCGGTTCTTGGTCTGTTCTTGGTCTGTTCTTAGTCTGTTCTTGGTTTTTTAATATTTTACCAAATTTTTTTCTCTTTTATAAATTAAATATCTCTCCAATCTTCGGGACTAGTTCGAAGCTTTCTAAAAAAAAAAAAAACAACAACATTGTCTATTCTTGGTCAAGTGTTGTCGGTTCTTAGTATGTTCTTAGTCTGTTCTTGGTTTTTTAATATTTTACCAATTTTTTTTTTCTATTTTATAAATTAAATATCTCTCCAATCTTCGGGACTAGTTCGAAGCTTTCCAAAAAAAAAAAAACAACATCATTGTCTATTCTTAGTCAAGTGTTGTCGATTCTTGGTCTGTTCTTAGTCTGATCTTGGTTTTTTAATATTTTACCAAATTTTTTTTCTCTTTTATAAATTAAATATCTCTCCAATCTTCGGGACTAGTTCGAAGCTTTCCAAAAAAAAAAAAACAACATCATTGTCTATTCTTGGTCAAGTGTTGTTGGTTCTTTGTCTGTTCTGAGTCTGTTCTTGATTTTTTAATAGTTTACCAATTTTTTTCTCTTTTATAAATTAAATATCTCTCTAATCTTATGGACTAGTTTGAAGCTTTTCAAATAAAAAAAAACAACATCATTGTCTATTCTTGGTCAAGTGTTGTCGGTTCTTGGTATGTTCTTGGTCTGTTCTTAGTCTGTTCTTGGTTTTTTAATATTTTACCAAATTTTTTTTCTCTTTTATAAATTAAATATCTCTCCAATCTTCGGGACTAGTTCGAAGCTTTTAAAAAAAAAAAAACATCATTGTCTATTCTTGATTAGGTGTTGTCGATTCTTGGTATGTTCTTGATTTTTTCTTTTTTTACCAAATTTTTTTCTCTTTTATAAATTACAATAGTCATTCATACCCAAAAAATCAAAATATATGTAAAAATGTATGTTTTTAATGTTTTATTAGAGTTTGTTATTGGTCTGTTATTGGTCTGGTCGGTCGATTCTTGGTCTGTTCTTAGTCTGGTGGTCGGTTCTTGTTCTGTTCTTGGTCTGTTCTTGATCTGGTGGTATGTTCTTTATCTGGTGGTCGGTTCTTGATCTGTTCTTAGTTTGATGGTCGATTCTTAGTCTGGTGGTCGGTTCTTGGTCTGTTGTTGGTCTGGTGGTCGGTTCTTTGTCTGTTCTTGATTTGGTGGTCGGTTCTTAGTCTGTTCTTAGTTTGTTGGTTTATTCTTAGTCTGGTGGTCGGTGGAAATGGTTGGTCTGCGTTGGGGTTGGTCGGTCGGCGTTCAAGATGGTCAATCGGTGTTCGTGAGGATCGGTCGGCGTTTAGGGAAGGTTGGTCAGCATTGGGGTGGAAATGGTCAGTCACCGTTGGGGTTGGTCGGTCGGCGTTCGAGAGGGTCGGGTCAGAGTTCTAGAGGGTCGGTCGGCATTCAGGATAGTCAGTCGATGTTTGTGAGGATCGATCGGCGTTTGAGGAATGTCGTTCAACGTTGAGGTAGTTGGTGAGAACCAGAGGAGAGAGAGAGAGGAAAATGGGTCCGGGCATGGAAGGAAAAAGAAAAAGAAAATCAGTCAGGATAAGGATCTGTTCAGTTTTAAAAGAATAAAAATTAAAATGTACACATAGATTAAAATGGAGTTCATTTTTTAACACGTAAGTGGTTTTTTGTTATG